TCTAATAATGACCATGACATTATTTTTCATAAATTTTAATTTGCACATCAGATGCTCTGCACGAATGTGAAGTTGAAATAATGAACAAGGACTATACCATGGCTGCATTTAAGCATTTAGCTCATAATTACAATGATTTATTGTCAAAATATAAATTGGTAGAACCAGAGTACGTACCACATTCATTTGAAATGATTGTTTAATTTTATATGTCACCCTTGTGACAAACTCTGAAACTGCATACATTTCTTTCTATTCTAGTGCTCCGGAAGACTACGTTAGACCAACATCCCTAGAGGATACTAATACAAATACAGTATCAATTGTCAAGAATGACAAACAGGATAGTGACAATAAAATTGATAATGAAAAAAAGGAGTGACACTAAAATTGATAATGAAAAAAAGGATAATGACGATAAAATTGATAATGAAAAAAAGGACACCGCTTGTTTATATGTGTCCAACTTAAATAAGGTAACAATAGTACTTTGAATTGAAATTATCAATCAATACATAATTTCAAAAATATAATATTATAATTCATTTCATTTCGTTTACAGGATGTCAAACTGAAACATTTGTTTAAATTGTTCGGTAAGTAATAAACTTATACTGTTTAAAATAAGTACAATATATTTAAAATAAGAGATCGTACAGTATTACAATCAAAACTCCTACAAATTTTGTTTGCACTCTCTTACTCTTCTTTATGTTTGGTCACTCATTGCCACTGAAATGCCAATGTAAAATTTGACTCAGCATGCTGACATCCAAGCTATCAACATTGTGGACGATCATGCTCACATTGAGGTTGCATCATATGTGGATGCTCAAAGAGGTACTTGCAATCAATCAATTCATACATTTTATTATAATACTTTATTCTCAAATGATAACAATAACATAACATTTCCATATATATTTTCAGCTATGACCAACTTGAACAAAACACCATTAAAAAGCAATGTGATGAAAGTCGAGAAATCCAAATTCGATACAGTGATTGTCTCTCCTGCAAATAAGGAAAACAAAACTGGGGCAATCTACCGTACTATGCATTACAAAAATCTACATAAGCGAATTGACAGGACTAAAAATATACCACCAACCTCCTCTATATATGTGACCAATTTACCGTGAGTAATTATTATAATTCCCATTCATTACCGTTCATCACTTCATTATTCTACATGTCATATATCTATTAATCAATTTCTATTTCCATTCATACAAGACTATGATAAAGCTGATCTACAACAGCAATTTGCCAAAAAAGGGATCAATTTCGAAATTGATCAAGTGGTGTCAGGGTAAGTACAATTACTTACACCACATCTTCCTACAACAATAAATTGTTACTGTATAATGAACACAATTTTGCTAAATTACTAATATTAAAAATTGCACCATTCCTCCAGAAAAACAACACCAGCTTACAAAAGTTACATAATAAATTTCACCACGGTGGAAGCAGCAGTCAATGCTCTTGTGGTACGTATTAACGTTGAGCAAAGGTCACATACATCTTTCGCCATTCTTCAGTTTCTTTGTTATGCATTGTCTATATAAACAGAAATAATGGTGATAAATTATGAATTCAATAAAGTTAATTTGTGAAGGGTTGGATTATTTAAGTAATCAAAACTGGTAGTTGGAATCTTGATAC